TGACTCCTTGCGTTGAAGTTCCGACAGACTCAAAGATGAACACTGATGGTAAGTACTAGTGGAAGCCAACTAGAGTCAACTACTTCCATACTCTGGCGTTAATCGGGAGAAAAAATTACAGGATATAGCGCTACGAATCCTTTAATCACGGATTCCACATGACATGATCGGATTTTGGGTTGCTCGTCGGGTGACAACTTTCAGCTGTGTGAATTATTCTTCCCCTGAGCTGCCCGCAGACTCTTCCTAGTGTGAGTTAATCACACTGCTGGTAAGCCGCTCATGGTCAAAAGTTTGAGTGTATAAACTAATAGCCGAGAGGTCACTGGTTCAAAATTCTCATGAGTTTTTTGCGGCGCGCACTTTTTATGGTGTTTAAGGATGAAACATTTGTACCGCGATTCTTGGCTTTCCAGAGTAGACTGGCTTCAAGTACAGGACGAAATTCCAAATGAAAATACCTGAATATCACTCCGCCAGCAGAAAAATTTGTCGACCGTATAACGTCACAGCTTAATCAGGAGCACTCATTAATAAGGAAGCAAGTTTTTATCGGATAACATCTCTAGGCTACACGACACAAATGACCTGCTATGGTTGGTTTTACCTACCCAAGCACTCCACTAATCCTGATCTAACCAGCAAGACAAATCGGTCTTCGATACCCACCGCATACTGTAGCTAATCTTTCCGCTCTTGCTGTTTACCACTGCACACCTAATTGTGGTGGGTCAAATAGGAACAGACCCCAACACGCCTTGAAAAACCGGGCTCGCAATTTGAATTAGCTGACCAACAGCCAATTGCCTGCACATGAAAAACTTATAACATCCCTCACTAAGTACTTACCACGTTTTTCCACTGAATACGGAGTTAATCGTAATACGTCGCAATTTCCGGCTTTCGGTGAGACCATGATGGTTGCTCAATCCCCAACCAGCTTGTGTGCACAAAATTCCTTGTCACAAGATAGCAGTCCACCTTGGACTTCAGAACTGGACATGATTATCCATTGTACGATTGATTCTGTTCCACCCTGTCATCCTTATTTATTCCTACTTAATGTAAAGTTTAAAGTTCCAGTATTTCTTTTGAGCGGGTAAAAACAAAGTGTTATTCTTCATTTTTCGACTTCTTATTTGATTGTTTAAACCTAAAATCACAAAAACGTCCAATCCCTTTAAAAGGAACCTTTCAAAATCTGGAAATACATTCCGAAAACCCGTTTCGCCAAAAATTCAAAACACTCATTCCTAACACATACCCCNGTACTCACTGACAGTCCTTGCTGGTGGTTCTTGCACAGAGGGTAAGTGATGGCTAGCTGTTGACAAGTTTTTATCAGCTTCACGGGTAACAGAGCACCAAAATAAACGGTAAACTTTCTTGAACATGAAATCAAATGAACTCTGAGATGGCCTTTGCACAGCATATTTGGTTCACAGGTATCAAAATTTATTGCTTCACTTGGATCTCTCTTCAAAACCACAAGGTTATCAGAGTTGCTCCCAATAAACATGTCTACCTCTAACCAAACTGATTTTTTGGAAAGTTTTTTTCTAGGTTTCAAGCCTGAGTTATTGTAGCACAATTCAAATTCCAACGTGTGGTTGCTACTCAAAGCAAAGAAAAATGCTTCTGACGTTTGTTTGAAAATGGAGGTCCTGGGTGCGGAATTTCCGTTTACTGAATTAGGTGTACTTAGGGAGACCAGTGAATTCACATAAATGATGACTCCTTGCGTTGAAGTTCCGACAGACTCAAAGATAAACACTGATGGCAAGTACTAGTGGAAGCCAACTAGAGTCAACTACTTCCATACTCTGGCGTTAACCGGGAGAACTAATTCCAGGATATAGCGCGGATTCCACATGACATGATCGGGTTTTGAGTGGCTCGTCGGGTGACAACTTTCAGTTGTGTGAATTATTCTTCCCCTGAGCTGCCCGCAGACTGTTCCTAGTGTGAGTTAATCACACTACCGGTAAGCCGCTCACGGTCAAAAATTTGGGTGTTTAAACTAATAGCCGGGAGGTCACGGGTCCAAAATTCTCATGAGTTTTTTGAGGTGCGCACTTTTTATGGTGTTTAAGGATGAAACATTTGTACCGCGATTCTTGGCTTTCCAGAGTAGACTGGCTTCAAGTACAGGACGAAATTCCAAATGAAAATACCTGAATATCACTCCGCCAGCAGAAAAATTTGTCGACGTCCGTATAACATCACAGCTTAAGCAGGAGCACTCATTAATAAGGAAGTAAGTTTCTATAGGATAACATCTCTAAGCTACACGACACAAATGACCAGCTATGGTTGGTTTTACCTACCCAAGCACTCCACTAATCCTGATCTAACCAGCAAGACAAATCGGTCTCCGATACCCACCGGATACTGTAGCTAATCTTTCCGCTCTTGCTGTTGTGGTGGATCGAATAGGAACGGACCCCAACACGCCTTGAAAAACCGGGATCGCTATTTGAATTAGCTGACCAACAGCCGATTGCCTGCACATGAAAAACTTATAACATCCCTCACTAAGTACTTACCACGTTTTTCCACTGAATACGGAGTTAATCGTAATACGTCGCAATTTCCGGCTTTCGGTGAGACCATGATGGTTGCTCAATCCCCAACCAGCTTGTGTGCACAAAATTCCTTGTCACAAGATAGCAGTCCACCTTGGACTTCAGAACTGGACATGATTATCCATTGTACGATTGATTCTGTTCCACTCTCTCATCCTTACTTATTCTTTTCTGATGTAAAGTCTACAGTTTTAGTATTTTTGTTGAGCGGGTAGAAACAGAGTGGTATTCTTCATTCTTTAACTTCTTATTTGACTATTTAAATCTAAGGCGACAAAGGTGTGCAATGCCCTTTAAGAGACCTCTCAAAGTCTGGAAATGCATTCTAACAATCCGTTTAACCAGAAACTCAAAACACTCATTCCTAACACATACCCCTTGTTCATTTGACGTGCGCGCTCAGCCAATTCTTGCATCTAAAATGAAAAAAATGCACATAGATTAAAAGTGTAGAACAGTCCTAGGGAGAAGCAGTGAAAAATTTGTGCGTTCTGCATTTTGCGATGCCTTCCATGGTTACAGTGAACCACCCTTATGTTCGTAGAAGGTGAGTAGACGTGTATTAGTCTGAATAAGCATGTCACATCACGACTACTCTCAGCAGGCACCCACCCCGTTGTTGTAAGTGTTCTGGTGAGCCATGCCTTGGAATTTTGTCAATTACTGAATCCCGAAATCAATGGTTTTTAAAACGTACGTTGCAACCATATGATTTTGATATCACCGGCTAAAGAATCACGCAAATATCTGGCAAGGAGTCTTGAATGAAGGACGAAATTGCAGCACACCTGTTGGATAACAGTTAAGGTCATTTATGGCTAAGCACCTGAGTCACTGACCAGTTGATTGGAGGGATGTGGATATGCAACCAGCCCATCACATACATGTCCTGATGACGAAGGATGGGTTGTTCTAGTCGAATTGCGACTGTCTCTGCAACTGCGACTTTGAAGTGAGTTGCTGACATCTGTTGGATCACAGTGAACCCGTTGACCGTATTAGTCAGATGGTTAACATTGCTCAGGTTCCCCGCCATTGCACTGATCATGTGGTGTGGCTTACCACAATGGTTTTAGTATCTCTTGTGCTTAGAACTTCATTTCGATAGGCACGTTTTGGTCTGAACAGGCCAAGTTGGATATGTCTTGATCAGGAATATTACCGTTCAGTTCGGTTGAGCCTCTAACACGCTGAAATTTCTCATCAACTGCTCAGTGCTGAATGTTCACTTCAGAGAAATGGCCACCCGACGCGTAATCGTGTCAGAATCGTTGTAACTTGAGTAAGGTGTGCAACGAGTATAAACCATCTAAAAAATGGCTGTCCGGCCGTTTCACGTCTTGCAACGCAATGTTCTGAAGGATGGCTATTTTCTTCAGGTCTGTTAAGATAAGATGGAGTGTGGCATCAAGCGCGTACCTTGGTACAGATCCTGCGAACCCTGCTGGTGAGACACTTGATTACTTTTTTATGTTTACTGTCCTCAAAACCATGAAACATAGGGACCCCTTGGACGGACCCGTCTATTGGTATACTTATCTTTCAAAGTCTGCAATACCATTTTCGAGTGAGCGCCATATCCAAAAGGATGCCATTTTTGGCATTCGTTTTCAATCCGATTCTCGCATGTGCCTCATTTAAGCGCCCAAATGCTGTTCATTTTGAGGCACGCGAAAACAGTGGAAAGCGATGGTAGAGATATTGGAGTCAAACGGACCTACAACTTGACTCATAACTATTTCGTATGAGATTTGTTCAAATACAGGTTACATCTTCAAACAGCCTGCCTCTCTATAAATGACTTCACTGGTTGCAGACTGATCGTGGAGGAATATGTAAGGCAGATTTGGAATGAATGAATATAAGCGGCTGTTTTGATCATTGCAGTGTCTCTAAAAAATGCAGGATACTTGAAACGAGAGTTTTTTGTTGCCCGAAATTTGGTCACACAAGACGGAGCCAAACGTATCAAAGCGGCTGGTCAGCTACAGTGTAGCTTGAAAAAGGGCAAGTAGGCAGGTTTGTTAACCTTAAGGAAGCCCCACATGCAGGGGATATTCACACCCATTGGTCTCAAAGGATGAAAACTTTTTCACTATGTAAACACTACATTTCGGGCGCTCCAGGCGTTCATTAGGTTGACGTTTATATTTCCCTTGTAAAGTCTTAGTCCTTTGCCGTAGTAAATTAGGTTCAGTGGACAGTGTCTGATGGAACTTCAACTCAGAAACCCCCAGAAATAAAGCTATCTGTAAAACCTTGAATACAGCCGCTCTCACTGCCTGCAATTACGCGCATGGCAGCAGACTTCAGACAGCGAGTGAGTGGTTCCGTAAGCAAATGCCCCTTCTATGAGTTTTGTGTGATAAATATTGCTAATTTTATTTCGAACACACGTTGCTAGTGGGGTGTTATTAAATGACACCAGAAAAATCATCTTTTGAACCATTTTGTAGACTTAATGTCCTTATTGCTTGAAGCCGACGTTGTTAATAGTGTACATTAAAGTTGTGTACGATTAGCACAAAACTTTCACCTTTACCCACGATAGTGCAGCGCAAACCTGTGTCCAATTCACTTAACTATCTAGGTTACTGTTGGGGCTCCACGGTAGGAATAGTTTTTTGAGAGACGTTTTTCGTCCCGACGGACAGCACCGGTTTACTAATCAGGAGTTTGTAACTTATACATACCTACTGCTAACATTTGGTCGCAAGTAGTGCAGTCTGAAAGAGGGAATTCATTTTGTTGGTTCAATTAACTATGTCAAAATTTGAAGACAAATGCAGCCTCAAAAGACATATGGAGTAGTGTTTCTTCATATTGGTAGAAATAAGTATGCTAAACAAACGGATGTGACAGAATTCAAGAACTACCATGGGTTGGGTGTCCGTCGCTAATGATAGCTAGACAGCAGTTTCCAAGTTTCCGCTGTCATTGTTTCTCCGGAAATTACTAAGCGGCAGATGGTGCGAATTTGGTCAACAGCTGAATTTTTTAACAATTAGGAACAAAAGCTGGGACGATTGAAGATGAGCAAGCCTACCTGGAGATGTTCCACTGCGCTGCATTACTATTAGTGTCCTTGTTAGCGCCATAAAGCAACTATAGATTAATTACACTGTAGAATCCTGTTCATTACGTTAAACAACACAGCATCGCTCTATTTAGGACTGATGACATAGACCAGACGCTGGAGAAAACTCTTCTGGATTGTCAAAAACAAAATAGCGCATAATAGAACAAGTCAAAGGGCTGATATGCCTACTTACATCGTAGCTTTGACGCTTGAATCGCTGTCCCAGATCATAGTTCTCTCCCTCAATGCGAAACAGCAAGTCGTGAAGCTCCTTCGCCTTAGCCTTTAACTGCTCAACCGTCATACCCGAAACATTCAACGGAGGCACGCGTTGGTCAATAATCGATCGGCGCTCAGCTTCTAGTTGCTCTTTGGATTTTGTCACTTCCTCCTTCTTCTCTTCTTGTGGCGCGGATTGCACCTAAGTGCGCGAGAGTGATTGGAAAAATGGATTCAAATCGATATTGTTATAAAACTAGATGAAATAGAGTATAGACTACGGAGGACACAAGTTGGGTTATCCAGAGAAGGGTGAATGCGAAGTAAAATCACCATCAAACGCTTAGATAAGGAAGATACTACTGACATCAGTAATGTGTGATGACAACAAAATCATGCAATACAAGTGAATTTTATATTAAAGGGAGACGCATCTGGATCTCAGGTGAATTTTACGTCCTTAACGAGCAAATATACGTGCTTTACAAAGACCGCACCGTATTTCGGTTGTAAAAATTCAATATATGGTGGTGCATTAGCACGAAATAAAGTTACCCATAAAGTTCATATTATTCAACTGCCGGTTCCACCCTTTTTGGCCCTTCACAGTTGAAAACTAACGTAATTTATTAGTGAATATATAAATCCAGTAATCTTTAAATTAGTATTTATTTCAACTAATCAGACAACGTTCACTTGATGAGCTTTTAGTAAGACGGTTTTCAGCAAACTTGAAAAAATCTTTCTCTACGCAATAAATTATCCTGTTCAAGACCAAGAACTGCCACCTTATATCGGTTTGTCTCGGATTCCAGTACACATTGCAGCTCATTTGTAAACGGACGGCAAGGAATCGAACAGAGTCAGGCAGAAAATCAATGTTGGAGATAAATGCATGCAACAGTTCAGCTTTGGGAGATAAGTGGTCTGTCAATGTGATGAAGGTTTTCTGTGCTTTGAAAGTTTTTCATGGGCTTAGTACAACCGCTGTGTGATTTTTTGACTGTTTCCATCAAGGGTTGTAAGATGAATACACTTTTGTAATACTCCAATGTCCGACAAGATCAGCCATATATAATTGCTGAGTGTCGAAAATCACTGCTTAATTTCCAAGTAATCTACCGACTGTCACCAAACGTTTTCGAAAACGAAATTCAGACACTTGTTTGCTGCTTCCTTCGGGTGGCATGGCAGCTAGGCACCGGAAGGGTGCTACAGCTGAACGCTTTTTTTTGCTGTTTCACCCATTGTATACTTTCCTAATATATATTATTTGCAAGGCTTGTTTTCAGCATGAACCTTTAACCATCTAGTAGACCCATCGTACGGCTTACCATTCAGTCCTGGAAGAATGATTAAGCCTAGAACCACTGGGTGGAAGGTCGGGCGCTTGAATTTTCGCACTGTTTATTACTCCAGTAAAGAGGAACTAGCTGCACAATGCTCTTGGGAATTTTCGAGTGAACTGCCTTTTGTAAATGTGACTTTGTTTGGACTACAAATGATCTCTCAAACTCCAAAAAGCCCTCAAAGATTATTTTACTCACTTCCGGACCACCTTCCCGCTTGTTGATCACAAAGTTTGGTCTGTTAGCGTTCTTTTTCTCCTCCCATTCCTGTCGTTTCCGCTCCCTTTCCTCGCGTTTGCGTTGCTCCTCTTCACGTTTCTTTCGTTGACGTTCTTCCTGTAAAGAGAACACAGGCTAAGCAAACGTTCTAGATCCACTGAACATTTTACATTACATAGTTGGGGAAACCAAAAACTCAAAAAGAGAATTTGTACCACGGTAGAAACATTTGGTGATCTGAGAAAACACTAGAAAACCACTTTTCTCTATTGCCACCAGCATCACTGTGGAGAATACCAATAGCCAAAATGCTGCCAGCAACGCCGTTTGCGTCAGTGACTGACCATTTTATATTGATAGAATCAACTAAGTGATGCATTTCGCGTAAGTAAGCAATACAACCAGTAAGCAGTACTGACGAAATATGTATGTTCATGTGTGAATATAGCGCTGTTTGTTATTAGGAGAGAACCTACGATACAACGCATATTTCAACGTACATTAACTGTTTTTCCCATGTGTGGGCAGTTTTTGGCCCACATGAAACGAAAACCGAAACATTCATTAATTTTGACGCACCACATTTTCCATTAATTGGTTCACCCTTCCCGAGAAAAAAGAACGACTTTTAAGTGCAAAACAGTATCATTTGCTTGGCACGGTTACCTCAACAACTGATATTCCATAAATCAATCGATCTGAGAAACACTCGAAGTCTGAATCGCTCACCAATGTGCTGATAAACGGTAAAAAAGAAAAACATTTTTCATTCCTCATGAAAATGTAGTTTTGAAGGCTTTGACCTTTCCAAGTTGACTTCTTAAATAAGACTAGTTCTGGGTAGCAGTCTGAAGTTAAGAGAACCTCTCTGCCATGGCAATTGTCTCGGACCGCATTCCCTTTTCAGATTGTTTTAAGGAAACTTCTTCATGGCTCCAAACTTATTAAAGTATGGTGATTAAAACTGGAAAAAGTAAGGAAAGCAGGAGCGAAGTTTGGACGCACCATTACTCACGTCTTGTTACTGTTCTTCTAGTTTGGACCTCACCGTCGAAGGAGACTCCGAACTACTCCGAAACGCCGCCTTACATTCCTTAGCTCTTAAATTACTGTTGATAACCATTATTACTGCACATATATATCACGAGCTTCGACTGACACTCAGACACATGGGCTTTTTGCTTGAACTGCTTGAACTAACATTTACTCATAGGATTGTCCTCATGTTACCAGTTTTTGAACTGAAAACAAGGTTGCTTTGTCTCATATTCTACTTGGAAGAAGTCAGAATCATATTTGTAGCCTGAAATCATAGGTTAAATGTACTGCTGCGTTAAACGACGAATCGAATTAGCAGAATCAGTGGTACGGTATTGCTGGCTAACAATGAAGGTTTAAAAGGAAAACAAACGGATTTGCGTCCGTTTGACTACCACCCATAGACAATGCGAATCTCACCTCCTCCGCTCGGCGTTTTTGTTCTTCCACCAGACGAGCCTCGGCTAACCGCTTTTCTTCTTCAGCCCGTTCTGCTTTGCGTCGTTCCTGGAAACGGAACAAGTACTTATTAAGCAGGCACAGGAGTAAAACATAATATGTATATTAGTTAAGAATGGTGAGGCGGCTAGGTAATTCTGGCTCATTGTTTATTTCACTTCCTCACAGAGTATGTTTTGACCAAGTCTTAACCATGAATATTTCTTTTTGACTGAGGGCATAAACTGACAAATCTTTATTGTAGTATAACTGAGGAGGGCATTCGGTAGTTGCACGCAAGCATGTGATATTTGGGGATCGGGAATCGATGCTGTTCCAGAGCCTCTTATTTCTTTCCCTTTCTGATATTTTTGTGATCACCCTAGGATTGTTTACTCCTAATAGTAAGGTTGCTAACCAAAGTCGGAGTCTTACAAAACGAATGAAACAATTGACTTGAGAATTAATTAGAGAGATTTTCCCCAAAGCACTCACTTGCTGGAAGTTTATCATACACCGGAACACTGTAACAAAAAACGCATTTCTTTTTTCTTGTTTCACTGCCCTAAGACGAGTAGATTTGCTTTGTCCTGGAAGGTACACTGACACTGCCTTTATTCATGAGAATGACTCGTATTCACAGCTTTAAATTAGAAATCAACTATGGAGCGACGTAATGGTGTGACTATTAAAATAAATTCACCTGCAATAACACAAAAGTTCGGGATCTTGGCGGGCCAAAGTGTGACATGGTTTCCCAATTGTAAGGTATAATCACAGCACTAAGACTGGTTCGACAAGTTCAGTGGTAAATGGCTCACCAGGAATAGCTTTTCAAAGACCTTTGTGACCTTGTTGCAACAAGGATCACAAACGGACCAGTAGATTCACTAGACTCGTTACACTTCAGGTAGCCAATCACGTCAGAAGATAACAGATAGCCTTTGACTGCTATATAAACACACGCAGGCAAGGAAGAAGTACCCACCCAACTGCGCACTGATGATGTCTCCTCGTATGGTGACGAAACGTTTGCAAGCCAATTGCCAAGCTCGGCGAACAGATCAACAGCCATCTGATCAACAACCAATAAACTCACCCGAAGTTACCAATATTTCACCACGGTGTCCCAGAATGTCCACGGTTAATAATCCTAATCTCAAGTAGCTTTTTAAATAGCCGAGGGCTTTGTGTCATAATTTTTTTATGGTACTTTACTTTCCCAACATTTTTGAAGTCAGTAAATGAAGGATATCTATATTTGTATTTGGAGTCAGTGTTTTGTCTTAAACGTGACTCCCGATATTTCGGTATGAAATGCTTCTGGTCAGAGTGTCCATCAAATTGAAGTTCAATTCATGAACTAAGGTGGTTTGCAGAGCTCTCAGTGAGTAGGTAGTGACCAAAAGTACGATAGTTCGGAAAACCACATTAACTTAGCTCTTGCTGATCAAATAAATATTTTGAACGATTATGACTTGATGGGACGTCGCGCAAAATTATGATACTCGTTTACAGATTTCCATAAGTACCTGAAAACCGGAAAAGTGAATGCAGACCCGCCTGAGGAAATTTACAGCAAATTATTTGGAATTCTAACAAAAGCAATCATCTCTCAAAAAAAATTACAATGACGGATGCGTTTTGCTTCCTACTGAGGCCATTTTATTCTTGGGAAACTACGGCACACCATCGCAGCTGAGAAAATTAGCCATTATAACCTCGCTTCAAGGTGATGGCTATTTAAGATAGTAACCGCAGAGGGCTGAAATAAACAAAGCGGGAGCGTTGATATATCTAAAGTATCTTGGGATCTTCATGGTCAATCTGTCAGAGGTAGTAACTCCGAACCTCTGCAAATGATTGTGGTGAAAATGTCGAATGGTCCCTCTTGAAGGCCGCGATACACACCCGATAAACTGGAAGAAACAAGGTTAGTATATGCCCTTATCTCAACTCTAGTTAAGTGTACATCCTGAATGTGCGTCCATAAAATTACGAAAGATCGAGTTTTTGGTGCCACTTTTGAAGACTCGTGTAATTAGTCTAGTGTATCTTATTTTCTGGAAAGTGATTAAGTGTGAATCATCCTTTATTTGTAGGGACTGTCTCAAGGCAACTGAAAGCAGTCTAGCCAGTGGGGTATTACCTTCTAGAATAAAACAAAAACACGTGATCTTGCCTGAGGACCGAATCACTTGTAGTTGGCCTTTTTGTCGCTGTATCGTGATAAAAGTTCACCAGTCTCTCAGAGCTACCATCGTGTTGATGTTAAGCAAGACTGCCATTCTGGATTTCATTGAAGGTAGCAAAAAACAGCATAGCTTTTTTACTCTGATGCACGTAAAATCAAACTGTTTTCCGCGAAAGAGAAAATGGCAGAGGGATCCACTTTTGACCAAGCTCTTAGCATGACCGGCGAACACGAGGGCCCTTCATATCATAATCTGAAGACAACTACCAGCTTATAAAACAAAATGCAATATTTACAAGTCTTGCTCACCCTGCGTTCTTTCAGTTGCCGGATTTCTTCCTCAGCCTTTTCACGTTCACCTCTTCGGAATTCCTCATATTCTCGCCATTCTTCCTCTGCTCGCTCACGTCGTCTCTTTGCCTCTTGCTATGAATTTCAGTTACATGAAAACAACCAAAATCGCACATACCTCCATACGAATTTGAGCCTCAGACTTTCCATCCTCACTGAAACCATAAAAGTACGAATAAACGTCACTCAAATGTTGCGGTATTTTTAAAGCAAAAATCACTCCTTTATGTCGTTTAGTAATATATAAGTGGGATGACAACGTCTCATGCAATCACTCTATTACGATAGTAATATTATGAGTGTGTATAAAGACGACATGTAGTCTACTGCAGTGGAAGGAAACATGAACAGGTTTCGCTCAGACAGAGCTAGGCAGAGAAGTATAGTTGAGAATGTGATCCGATAATGACGGTCAAATATTAGACTATTGAGAAACCCTGGTTTGATAGTCTGCATATACAAACACGAGGTAAATAACTGATGGATAGAAGAGAGTTGGTAAAAAAAAGTCTTCAAATTTCTGATCAGAATGAAACGGACCAAGGTTAGTTCCTCAGGATTTGGTTGGATGTTGAATGCAAAGTGTGTTTAACAAAGCTTGCCTCTGCGCTACACAAAGGTTGTCCCGTATTCCGTAAGGTTACTCAGAGTCATTCGAGACAGCTAGCATTCAACTGAATGTGCAAATCAACACACTTTTGGCCGTTTGTCTTGGTGTTATTAAACAGTGTATGAAAATTGATGAAAAGTAATCGGTAGCTCATGACCAGTCCTGACGGTTTTTCATAAACGAAAGATTCGTTTACGATTCCTTACGATCAAATGGGTGGGTAAGTGGCAAATGGGTGCATTTTACCAACCACTTACGCTTTGATGCGAATTTAAGACAAGTTCATAAAAACTGTGTGACAAGATTTACTTGACAATAACATTAAAACCAGCAAAGGACCTTATGAATAGTACATTACAAATATACGTGTATCGCGATATTTCAAATATCGTAGCGACTGAAACATGAGGCGGCCTGGTGCAGCACATTCAGTTGCCTGAGAACAGCATAAACGAGAGATTCAGCTGGGTTCCAGGTGAGTCTCTCGAAAGAACCAAATTAGTTTGCAGATGAGTGTATATTCGCTGACTACCAAAGGACTTTAAAAAACTTTATGGGTGGTGTTTTTTGTCAAGAAAACGCTATACAGTTTACCAGTTTCGTTCTGATCTGAATGCGGCATATTCATCATAGGTAAGAATTCCTTTTGGCTCTCAGCAATTGCTAATGACTATGTGAAACTATTAACGTATTGCTATTCCAGGAAATAGTTCTGGGGAAAATGATATTTATACAACGTTTCAATCCAAGTGCTTGTACGTGGGGAACAAAGAATTTTGCCCAAATCATCTCCAGCAAAAAAGGAAGTACTGGGCCTAGCTTCACAGATTTGGCATGACTGAGGACCAATTAGTTTTAGCAATCTCAATCATATAACACATGTTTTCTAAAATATTTCCCTCATTTGTTCCTCATTCCAATACGGAGGCAAATAAGCATATCATGCTTTTGTTAACATCTTGTAATGCCAGAGGCTTATCTCTTTATGTTTGTCTCGATATTAAGCTTGAAGTGAACTAACAAGAATCTAGGTTTCATGAAAGAGATTCGAAGCTGAGTTGATCTCACGACAGACTGAACTAAACAATGCACAACCTTTTTGTTCAGTGTTAGAGGCCAGAAAACTTCTTAAAATGTCCTGGTTTAAAACGGGTCGTCCTTTAGGCTTCTGTCACAGAACACGGAGGTTCTTCAGTGAAACACACTACTGAAGAGGTCTCTAATGAATTGTCAGCAGCCCATGAACGATTTCATCCTTCCTGGGGCTTATCAGATAGAGTCGGCTTCTAAATTTCTGTCAGAATTATCTTTTGGGTGAATACTTCCATGTTGTCAGCACAGGAGTTTGTTTTGGGATTTCATCCGAAGAGAAATAAGTAGTTTTACGTTACGTAAAGAAATTCCATGAATGACATTCAAGGTATGTGTGACAGGCATCGACCGGCTAAGGCACTCAACGACCCTCTAGACTGTCTCGCATGATCCAACTAGATACGATGTAGGGGGCACAGACAACCAATCGTTCGCGTCTCCACGTTTTGCATTTCACTGTATTATGTATGTACTGACCTGTATGTTCATTACGCTCTTCAAACTGGCTTCCATAGGGTTGACTTGCTAGAACTAGGTTATGCGCAACTATATGGTCAGAGGTACTTTGACAATTTATTCTGAGCAAAACTCAAGCCATAGGCGTGGGTTTTAGAGTTCACCCAAGCGTTTGGAATAAATCAGGGGGTTTGAACTGGCATAGAGAAATCAACCATAGGGATATATGTCCTCAAGAATGGTAAACTTACTTACCACAGACCAGTGGTTGAATCTAACACACACTTTCTTACCCGCTGTCACTGCTAACAATGCTGTCTGAAATCAAACCACTCAATGGTATGGAGGGAAACTTTACAAGTATTTGCATGCATGGGAGACACACAAAGTATGCAAGGAGACCAAACCTCGTATGGATTTTACAAGCGCGAAGAGAATCTGTATCTGGTGGTCGAGCGTAACCGGTACAAAACAAGATATCTGAGATTACAACTACTGCCTCAACTGTGCAGGGTGTCGATGGTATTTCGTGGGGAAAGGTGATTTTCTGAAAACAACTGAGCCAATCGTCAGAAAATACAGAGTGAGCATGGAAGTGTAAGAGAAGGTTGAACGACAGGGTTGAGCGCATATCCTATCCTACCAATGAGAGAAAATACATAAAGGATACGCTTGCTATTCGGATGATTAGGCTCCGGTTGGAGGTAAACAGTAAAGAAAATAATCACTTGCCGCTGAAAATGGTACACAAAGGATAGAAACGACCTAAAGGATAATAGGACCACGCACGCTCGACTTCAGTAGCCCTTCGCCAAACTAGAGGAAGGCGCTCTGAGTTGGTTAAAACGGCCATCGACAGTGATATTCTGGTCAAACAATGAATGCGAAACTGACAAAAGCTAGATTGAATAGGTTATTCGGTCTGGGATTGGGGATAACTCGCGCGCATTTTGCAATGGCTGCATGCCTGTACCAATCCAATCAATTTCACAGGGCACGGGAACAATGGTAGGAGGCCTCATGAAGGGATTATCGTGACAAGCGGAGATATTCAAACAGTGGACGTTCACACACACACACACACACCCAAAAAAAAACACAGGAGAAGTCACACAGGTTGACACACACACACACACGCACGAACACACACGAAGTACGAGCAGAGTGTTGAGAGCTTGGCTTGTAACTGGGCAAATGAACAACGAAAAAACAATTAGTAGTGAATGATAGCGAGCAAGAAAGACGTACTTAAAAGCAGGTACTGGAGTAGGTGCAGGGCTAGCACGAAGATTGAAAAGTTGCGGCAGTAAGTTTATTACATTTTTGTACACAGTGTACGGCAGACTAGAGTTGAACATATAGTCACGTGCTAAGAAATGTATACCTATCTTGGCTGCGATAATCAAGTGAGAAGGAAACTGCTATTGTTCTATATAGCTAAGAAGCCTTCTATACAAAGTGCAGGTGGTGCGTTTTCAGCAACAAACCTCCGCAAAGACTATTTTTAAAAAAATGTATTTACTGTCATTAGAAACATTCGGTAATAACTTTATGATGCTCCAGATGACTGTGTGAATATCGGACAAGGGGCGATACAGTGTCTTCAGAGGGATTAGCGAATTGTGTTCGGTAATTTGGCCCGAGAGGTGCACATTACCGTGTATGCTGAATAGAGCAGAGCTAAATTGCACACTAAAGGTAATAGCTCTGGAATGGAGCAGCGGAATACGACCCCGTTCCTCAGGAATTGCCCCGGTCGTTGTTTTAAATGAGTATTTTTCGCTTATGGAGCAAAGAGAGCATGCTTCTGGTGATCAAGATAAAGGGTGGAGACGATCGGTATAGGGGTTAATCAAGTACAATCGTTTACATTTAACAAAAACAACTATTCACAACCATTGCTTCGTCTCCTCGGAGGTGTCCGATGACTCGATATGGTGTAGTCTCATGCCCATCCCATTCCTCCATGAGGGGAAATTTCGGCTGCTTCCGACAGACTGTTGCGCCAGATTTTCATTCCAAAGCCGTATCACAGCTTTTTTACAATTCTCTCACACAGTATGAGTACAAAACATGTGTTCCAATACAAATAAAGAGAGCTAGGTGACTTTACAAAAGCTCAGTGAGGGAACGCCTGACCAGCAATTTGATGTAGTACCTAGTTGGCAAGGATGTCTCACTTGGCCAGTATTACTTAGCCACCTTCTGTTTTACATAACTGGACGAATATCCTATAGAACTTGAAGCAAACTTTCTACATCAATTAAGGATCAGATCTACTCTCCAGTTCTCAACAATTCAAACGTAGTACTAGCTGGAACAGAACCAGCTAGTGATATGTCTTTCAGTATTTGCTCTTTTGCCTATCATCCCAGCCAGACCAAAGATAATACACATGCTTTCACATATTACGTGTGTAATGAGGGATATCATTACCTCTGGATATGCAATCCTACCGCACACGAAAAACTTGGACCTAGCGGGCACTTCACAACGAACCATCCCTCCAAGGTTTCCATAGCTCATCTGACGAAGACGCCAGAAGCATACTCTTAGTGCTCGCCTTTATCTAAACTCATTAGTGCCTTTCAGCACTAATATGTAAGACTTTACTGCATTATGGGGAAAGTAGGAGCAGTCGCACGATAGTAATTAGAGAACTGTTTTTAAGAGGTTGCACTTGAGTTCTTAGTTCCCTCCTCCTTCAATACAGGCCTCTCGGATAACTGAAGCATTACCATTGACAGTATAACGTAAGTGGACTGCTTTAAGTGACTTTATACAATTGAACTTGAAATGCAGAACATTTAAAATCAAGATGTGTTAGGTATAAACGTGTACGATCAAACCATACCACTTCAGCCTTGCGAAAGTTTGCGCAGCATCCGTAGTCCGCAAGATGTTATCAAACAACACTGATGGCGACAAAAAGTTGGACTTACCTGTGTTCGTCGTCAGACATGATTCAGTTTTTATCTGCGCACCGAAAGTATCCGTAAAAAGTGTACTTCTGTCCCTAGAACCAAAGTTGATCATAGATGAGACACAAAGCGATACTCAGAGTTTAACGGTTAAACTTGGGTTGGTTATTTTAACCGGCACTGGCAAGTTTTAAAAATCTGGGCTTACTCCTTCGAAATCTAGTTACGGAAGTAGCACTCCCCAGTTCTCTCAAGTGCTTGAATAAGCCTGTTTTAAAGAACACGAGCCGATGGTTATGGGCTTTGAGAGTAAGAGTTCCGTAAGTCGTGCATGTTAGCTGAATGAAACGGATGTGTGCAGTTGACCAGTCAACGTTTCATAAAGCAACAGAATGAGAGCAACCCATTACCCAATAGTGTAGTGTAATGGGGATGTGTAATGTGCATACATATATAAATATATATTTGTGTATATACCTATATGTACAAGAACATACAGCCAAATGGTACATTCTGCTTTTGGCTTCTCAAATGTGTTGAGTAAATTTGTTTTCTACTTGTCTTTTGGTACAGGTAACGGGTAAGAACATTTCCACATAAGTTAGCGAACAAGTACAGAAAAATAGCATATTTCGTGTAAATATTTACTTGCTAGTGTGGTGAACCGATCGTAGAGTTTGAAATGAAATTTGTTTTTTTATTCACTAATCCTAATTAGGAGGATCGCTAATGAATTTAAACCTTTTATTCATTTCATCATACTCGGTCTATTATCTCCATGATATTATGAAATATCTAAGGTGAATAATATTCCATAAGGAAAACCACAGGGAATTGCTTACTGCTTGCTGGGATATCCGACGTGAAGTGCTGGCAGACTTCCTTCACTGGGAACTATGTGGACCTTATCTTTCGACTTGTATCCGCCCACTCTCTCTATCTCGCTTAGCTGGGACGTATGCGGCTGATAGGTTTGTGCTGCTGTAAGCGCGTGCACAAAAGAATACCAGCTGTGGTATGGGCTAGCCGCATTGCTATACCGTTGTGTTCTACGCCAGCGTGTGTGTGTGTGCGCGCACACACACGTAATCGATAGTCCTTGTTCGGCCAGTGGCAAGAACAATCGGTGCAGTGTTGCCCATTCTGCAACATCTTGACAATCGGGGGCGTTTATCGATTATGCGTGCGAGTGACGGAATCAATTCCCATGTGTACGCGTACCGATACGAACCAGAATAGAACGGAGTGACAGTGGAAGCAGTTGTCCCGATGAGGCTGTATTGGGCTGTGTTGCACCGAAGTAAATGTGTAGTGCATAATTTCGGAAAAAATAAGTCGAACTTGGTCAACCACGCGATTCATCCAATAGTGATAGAAAAATGAAGTTTCCTGCCGGATGCACAGGAAATCTGACCGTATCAGTGTTGTACACAGTTTACGCTCTAAATTGGAGTCACGTGATACGAATAGCACTAGCACGTGCAGAAATGAGATATCTCACTGGTGAAGTACTATGATGCAGTTATACAAAGGCAACCATTGATCTGTTCCAGTATCAGACGTGGAGGGGCAGAAGATCTGGTCACGGTATTGACGGTATTAAAGTCAGTGGAGAATGATGGGTGAGGAATCAGTCTCTAGACCAAGTAGAAGAAAAGTCGCTACTTCGAACACATCTAGAAACCCCAAGTCGACTGTGTTCTGATTCAGCGAAACGTTGCCTTATCTTTTGAGTGAACGCTTTCACATTTATCCCTTATTGTCATTGAATTGCTGACGACAAACTGACTGCTTGTAGACACCGTAAGTGTTTTCGTCAAAGACATCTCTAAACATGTTGACTGTCTTAAAATCTGACATAGTGCACCCGTTTAAGCAACAAAAACAGTACGTTCCTCCGTTAATTATACCCTAGACTAGATTGGAGAACTTGAAGTGCAAACAGTTTAGAATTTTGTTGTTGTGTCCTATTGTCCAACAGAGTACTATTTTAAAGGGATTCATTTCCTGAAACTGTGAGACTCAACTCAAGAAGTAGTAAAAGAGGACTTGGCTCACAAATGCTCAACGGGTTGCACTCGAGATTGACCGGTTCTGGTGAGTTCATGTTCCATACGTCCAAACTAAGTCCTGGAACAACGTTTGCAATAAATTGCCGGTGGCGCTGGACGACTAGAATGTGGGCCAAAGAGATGACAAACAAATACTGAATTGATGCCTATGGGGATCTTGCGGTAGGTGGATTGTTCAGTTTCACATCACTCTCGTTTTGAACAGTCGCCCCTTGTCCTGGCGCAATTACTCATGTGAATCCACACCAGGGGGGGGGGGGCACTAGACTCGAGCTTCGCTCTTGTTAGAGCTTATCAACAGTGCATATCTAGTGACACGGACATTGAAAATGCTGGAAATGCCATGAAATGCTGAATTATCATCCGTTAATCGGATTGGACGGGTTGTTAACGTAAGCACAAATAGTGCAAAATTGTTGGTGGCTACCCTCAGTTAACTTGGTTATGTACAAACAGGAATAGGCGTAGTGAGGTTTGGACAGTCGTTCTGATTTAAAGCCACTTCAGCGCCTAGATTCTATGCCGCCCGAAGAAATTACTGGGGTTGAAGTACCGCCAGGATAACCAAGAGTAGACGGAAGCAGTCGAGATATCGGCGTTCAGTTTGAACCATGGACTGTCTCTTTAGAAATTTCGTGCCTCAGCGACTTAGCCCACTTGGGCACGAGTTACCCAGGAACGGGTGGTGAACCAAAAGAAGATTTGGTTCAGAGAATGGGGAAGCAACAGGACAGGTATGGAACACGCATTGAAATATACGGATATGGGAAGCAATCCGAATTCGCGAACGAGGTGAAAAATTCATGAATAGATTGCTTCTTACACGGTCTTTGCGTCCTGCGGCTCAACGAGGAATTGCTTCACAATTTGAGATTGGAAAAACCAGTGTGAAGGATCGCAAGATGGTAGAAGATATCATCGGCATATTCATTTCAATGACGGTTCACAAATGGTCTCGGCGAAAGTGCGTGCTTCGATTTTCGGAGTATATACTACAAGCAGGATGGTTCTCAAAAACACAACTAACACACTTTCCTGGTCTTGCTTTTTGTTGACGTGAAGGTGGTTCACAGCCATGCCCAGCTGCTACATGTTCAATTCTGACTAAAGTGATAATCCCTAATTGGACCGTCAAAATTCGGCTCAAAAACAGTTGGTGACAGAGTGTGTTGTGAATAGGTAGTACTGTGGGCTGAACAGTCAAGTGTGTGGGTGACTGGGTCGCTACAGTTCCATAGAATTTATAAGCCGAGCTTCTCCTTTGTTTGGTGTTATAGGCGCGAGAGGGTTTTGACCTGCGCGAATTAGACTCGCACCATGACAAACGACAACGGAGTTAGATCCTTATAGAAACATCGTTTAAGTTCGCAAATTACGGACACGTTTTACGAAACCTACTAACCTTCGCTTGGCAAAACACACGACAGTCAGTTTCTCACTAGTATTCCCCAACTTATATCACAGGCGGAGGAGGAAGAATGTGGAAACAACCCTAGATATTTCTACAATATTATTCTTCTTATAAAGTTTTCGGTAATCGCTTACCGATCTCGTACTAATTAAGGCTCATCATATGTTACTAGCTTCTGAGTTGCCACTAAACATATGCATGGAAGTGGCAAGCATACTCAAATGGAAATTAAGCTAGTGTTACTAAGAAACTCAAGGTGTATCTTTAGAAGCCACGTTCACGTAATAAGTCCCAAGAAGTGGGGAAACGATAAGAGATGTTGAAGAACGCTTTGGGAAGCTTAGTGCACCCTGGTTTTGTTTTGATTTCTTGAAACATGCGAATACCTTTGGGCACCACAATCAGCTGAATATTATCACAAACTCGAGATCCGGATGGACTTTGGTTGGATTTACTGTTTCAAGCAGTTGTGTTTCATCATCTTCAGACCTTGTATACCTAACATAGTTAAACTCAAGAAGGAAAGCCCGACTATTTGGTTTGGTCGCTAATGTTGCTTGGTCTTGCTTGTCTAGTTGACAAGCCGAGAGTTTTGCATACTTGTATAATTGTCGGCTTATATTGTGTCCAAGTCACATTTTGAACTGTCATCGCACGAGACTAAGCAATCGATCGTCTTGATGTCCAGTTATATAGAAGCGTGTGTCGGTCGGGATTGATTAGTTTGGTTGTAAGGGCTGTACGAATTACGCGTTATCACAGAAAATGGTGTGGCTTGCCTGTTAGTCATGCCCGAGCTTGAAAAAGTCAATGACAAGGAAAACACTCACAAGGTTGCCGAAAACTCTTCGACAGTCCACGACCTGTTTCGCCCTTATTGGGGCTCATCAGGTAGGCTCAGTTCCCGAGTTTCCGTCAATCTTATGATCTACTTGAACCCAACTTGGACTGTTTTGGAGAAACACACTCGTTTGCAAATCAATTTGGTTTTCACGAGAGACTCAACTGAATCTCTCATTTATGACATTCTGCAACTGAATGTGCTGCACACAGGCCGCCTCATGATTCA